AGAAATTACATCTTAACATATAAAGCACAAGTGAAGATCTAGCTGCAGATTTGAAATCTCACATGGCAGGATGGTTATGCATCTGCTGCATCTTGTTGGAAATAAAGTTTCATTATCACAGTGGACTTAAGACCAAGTGACATAACCTGGAGCTCTCATGCTGCCATTATCAGAACACGTCTAAAATTTCTAAAAAAAAAAAAAAAAAAAAAAAAAATTGAGGACAAGTTCTTATGCTGAGAAATATTAAATCCAACCCAAGAGAAAGCCGTGTTCGACTTCATCCGGACATAACAAGTACCCCACTGTGTCATAGAGAACAAATGTAGAACAAAGACAGCTCCTGCCCCCAGGACTTAGAATCAAAGGTCCATATTACCAAACACATTTTTGCAAAACGACTTAAGCAGTCCCACCCCCTACGCATGCCACCATCTCAACTGTGCTGACAGAACTGTTTGTAGCAATGCACCATGAACCAACTCAGGAATCAGATCTGAGTAAAACCAGAACAGGGAGCTGTTCAGAGTGAAAACTTCCTTTATTTCTTTTCATCCTTTTTCTTTTTTTTCCTTCTCCTTTCAATTATCAACTTCCAGGTTCAGTTCATTATCTGGTAAAACTGAGGAAAGGAGGACAGAAAATGACAGGAAAATTTAACTGCTCTACTAGAACTTTGAAAGACAGTTTGAACATGGGCAAGTAGGAAATGCAGACAGCCAAAGGGAAAAAAAAAAAAAAAAAGATGCATATCACTATGATAATCAGTTTTTCCTTCCTTTAAATTTCAAATCCTCTTGCTTCAAAATGTAAGCATTTGAATTAACAAGATGCCTCCATTATTTTTTGTCTCACTGACTATAATGTATCAAATATGAGTCTGCAATACAAACAGCTTTATTGATTTTGATGTCTCTACTTGCTCTCTCACTGGTTGGATGTGGACAACTACATTTATATGGTCTCATAAATTGGTAGATGAATATCAGCTTAAAATGTATTGGATAAAGGCAACACTGGAATATTCCAAAGTTTGATCCAGGCGAGTTCCACAAACACAGAGGAACAGAAAGTACACTGTGTGCAAGTTAGTCAGACTTGAGCCAACACGAGGCTGAAGGTACATCTCTTTTTAAAAATATCTCCAGTTTTGTTTTTAACTATGGTGACAGTTTCTACTTAAATCTGATACTCTTAATCAAGACCAGCAAGTATGCTCTACAGGATGAATTACAGGCTTATTGTTGGAAACAACAACAAAATCCTAGATGCTGCCAAATTTGTTTGCTTATACTCAGGACAAGAAAGAAAAAAAGCAAAGAGTGAATACGGCTCAGATAAACAAGACAACTGAGATTTGGATGGAATTTATGCTCATGGTGCAATACATAAATATGATATTCACTCAAATGTGAATTTCAAGTCTTTGTGAATCCAGGCTCACATAAGTTTAAAAGAGACTACAACCAACCACATTATCTGTTGCATTTGATCTTCAACACAACATTCAAGCCAGCCTGGAGTGTAATTGGTACACTGACAACACAGTCAATCAGAATCATCCTGTTCATCTTCTCAGACAAATAGTCTTTACTTAAAAAAAAAAACAACAAAACAAACAGGATAGTTTTCCTTCCAGCACAGAGGTCAGATGACAACTGTAAAGTACAACAGAACTGCTAGCTTCCAGCATGTATCAAAAATAAAACAACGAGGTCTACTATGCCTTCTTCCTAAGACAAAAAAAACTTCAAGCAAGATAAGGAAGAGGAGAATCCGGTATTTGCAACCTTATTTGCTAAAAGAAAAGTTTCCTAAATTTATTCCAGCAGTAAACATACATTGATTTGTGTAATAATACAGTTTTTGAAAGAACGCTTACTTTATGTCAGTATTAAAAATCACAACTTACAACATTAAAATGTCTACATAGTAGAGTTAACACAGACTGCTGCCTTTCTGTATCTGCTGGGCAACAGAAAGCTGAAAGACTTAGAAACCAAAGTGACTACAAAGCCTAAAATTAGCTTAATCAGCTCTATGTAGTGCATCTTTTCTCTGCTGGATACCAACTAAAGAGAATATTCATTGAAGTACTGGGGAGGTTTCAACAAGCAGGACCTTAATATGGCTGAAATCCCCTTCAGGAGGGTGCAACAGGAGCAAAAGCTGTGACATCACAACAGTGCAAACCCACAAAGCAGGTCACAATTCTAACTAGCAGCATCATCAATAATTGACTCACACTAGCAGAGAGCTTAAGAAACTGGTAAGGGGGCTGATTCCCACAGTCAGCTCACATAGAAGGTAACTGGGCTGCAGGTTCACCATCTGCTGAAGCCCTCTGGGCAAATGGTCCTTTACTTCTTCCTTCTCCCAGCCCCTCCTACATCCTTTGAGATGAAGGCACCCAACAGTGCTGTGAGCAAGCTGATGCAACTGGAAAGCAGCATTTTATTTGTGAAGTTCTGTGCTTGCTGGATTTGCTTCCTGACCAAGAGTCCTCACTCCAGTCAAAAAAATAAAATAAAAATTACATAAATACATATGATGCACATTCTAACCACAATGCTTTGAAACACTGAAAAAAATCCATGCAAAATAACCATTTTTACAGATTAAATTCTACTTCAAGAATCTCACTGAGTACAGATCCATGAAACATATCCAAAGACTTGTAGGCATATGTACAATCACAGTTACAAAGACAAACACCTCTTGAAAGATGGAATAAAAATCATAGGGCAGCATCAAGTTTCGTAAGCAGATGTCTTCATGTCCACGGTTAAATAATTTGTTTCAGTAAGTGAGGAAAAAAAATTTTAAGAGATATGCATCATGCATACTTTACTTCAAAGAATTCCAGGAATCTATTGTAAACACAAAAAACTCCACAGTCATCACAGTACATTGCTCCCCAAAGGAACAGCGGGTCAAATTCAAAGTACCAGCAATAGATTCTCATTCAGAACTTTTTCTATAGAGGCCAGAATGGACAAAACCTCCAAAACCTCAGAGCTCTGTCTTCAAGGGTAAAGAAAAAAAACAACTTAGTTTGTGAAACTTAAAGGATGAAAGACCAAAACATAACTCCCTACTGAGTGATTACAAGGAGAAGCTTTCCCAAACATTAGCTAACTACGAGACAAAAGACAGCTCAGTAAAGAGTCAACTAACAAATTAACATACAGTCGTAATTGGCCATAACCATTGAAAAAGCAATTTGAAGAAAAAAGGCAAAATCCAGACTCTGGTGAGAAAGCTGCAATAATTAAAGGTATTTTGGTAAGGCAGCCACCACTCACAGCATGTACTATGCTTCTGATATGATGATGCCCATCTGCCTCCAGCTGCTCCGTATCGCTGGACTGCTGGAAGTTTTCACCTCATTCCTACGCCTACCAGCACCAGCTAACCTACTTCAGACAAAAAGTGTCAGGTCAATTCAAGCACTATATCACACCCATGTTAATCCACTGTGTTTGGGCAGGGGCACATCAGAGAGCAAGATGAGGGCACAAGAGGACATGCCACAGCCACCAGGTAACTGCAGCATTGCACCAGGCTGCCCAACAGAACACCAGTGTTGTAAAGCTAAGATTTTCGCTATCTGTACATTACAGCGTATTAACCTTTTTTTACGTGATTTATATAAAACACTCAATTGTAATATTTTTCTGGCTTTCTCTAACCAACACAATCAGACAGCTTTGCTGTGGGTAGCACAAGTGAGCACAAGGTGTCTACCTTTCTGTTATTGTGAGGGCAAATACTGACACAGCCCTTCTCTCTGTCACCATTTTTCTGTGTACAGTTGAGACCAGTGACACTGAGCTGTCTTCCAGCTGCTGTTGATTTTCTAACACACCTTTCACCAACCACATGTGTTGTGCCCAAGGCTTGTTAAACTTACCATCTTATCCAAAAAACATTGCACAGAAATGCAGTAAAGTGTATGCTTAGCTTTTTGAGGACACGTCAATTTGGCTTACATGCGATTGAACAGCTGGGCTCATGCAGCACTGTGGTTAAGAGTTAAAAATCTGAAAGGTAAGGAGGAAATCCAACATTTCTTCAACAGGCACTATATGCATCTGTTGTGATACGCAACATCTTTCGTAACAACAAACTCTGAGTTACCTAAATGCCAAACCACAATTTCACAACAGTGGTCATTTAAAATAAAAGCTACCTCTTTAAGTTTCATAGTCATAAAGATTGAAGAAGATTGTGTAGTTCATCCCCAACCCAACTTCACCATGTCCACTGACCACATCCCTCAGTGCCATAACCACACATTTCTTCAACACCTCCAAGCATGGAGACTCCACCGCCTCCCTGGGCAACCTGTACCACTGCATCATTACTTAAGCAAAGAAAACCTCCCAACTACCCAACCCAAATCTCTCCTGGCGCAAGTTGCGGCCATTCTGTCTCATCCTATCACTGCTACCCAGTAGAACAGGCCAACCCCCACCTCATCACAGCCTCCTGTCTGGTCACTGAAAAGAGCAATGAGGTCTCCCCTGAACCTCCTCTGCTCCAGACTGAACAATCCCAGCTCCCTAGCTGCTCTCCATAAGACTTGTGCTGCAGACCCCTCACAGCTTCTCTGCCTTTCTCTGAACATCCTCCAGCGTGTCAATGCCTTTCTTTCTGTGAGGGGCCCAAAACTGAGGACAGACCTAGAGGTGCGGCCTTGCCAGTGCCAAGTACAGGGGGGAATTTAAGTCTGTACAACTCAGAAATGACAGAGACTTGGTGAAGGTTCCCAAGGTGCCCAGCCAACTCTATGAAACCTCCAAACAGAAAGAAGTTCTTAGCTTCACAGTGCCAGGAGAACAAAGCCCTGAGGGGAAGTGAGCACTTGGGCCTGGCTTTGCAGTGGGTCAGAAGAGCAGAGTTCACCCAGGGACTTTCTCCTGTTGGCAACTGCAAGGAAAAATTGCAAAAGGTACAAGAGAGAAAGCTGTTGTAAAGAGGGAGAGCACCAAGACTACCAGAAGCTTGCGGTGATGTTTATCGTTCATTCCGGACAAAAAGACGTCCCGTGCGGTGTGGCAGGGGCTCGTTCCGGGCTGCCCAGTCCGCTCTCGGGGACCAGCCCAGCAGCCGCGGGCCTGCTGAGCAGCGAGCCCGGGCCGCTCGGCACGGGCGCTGCTCCCGCCCGCTGCCAGCGGCGCCCCACGGCCGCACACCGCGCCGTGGAAGTACGGGCAGCCCGACCGCCGCGGCCGCTCCCGCCTTCCACCGCGCGGCGAGCCGGCAGCCCAGGCCCGGCAGCTTAGGCGTGAGGCGGCCGCGCGGCACGGGCCCGCTCCTCCCGTCAGCGTGGCGGCCCCGCGAGGCCGGCGGCAGGGCCGAGACCGCTCGCGCCCCCTCCCGCCCCGGGGCCGGGCCGCAGCACGTACCTGGCGCCCGTTGCTGGCGGGGCGGGGCGGGGCAGGAGCGGCGCCGTCAGCGGGAGGCGCGCGATACCGTCGCCGCGCGCGCCGCCCGCCCTTCTCCTCCCTCCCGCTCCGCTTCCGGCATCTGCGCGCCGTGACGTCAGCACCGGGGGGCGCTGCGGGAAAGCCGGAAGCGGAGCGGCAGCAGCGGCGTGTGGGGTTGGGGCGTCGGGCGGGCGTGGGAAGCGCGGCGCCAGGAGCGCTCGGCGTGCTATCCGCCGCTTGTAAGAGCGAATTGCGGCGTAGAGCTAAGTCAGTGCACAGCGCTTGGGCGTTCGCACGTATTCTTGTACGCCACAGACGTAGGGCCACAGAATATCGCGAGTTGGAGGTCATGGATAACTACTAGGCGTTTCCAGTGCCTTGGTGTGGCTTAGCCAGAGAACGTGCATCTAGCCCCCACCGTCCTGCTACCCCAGGCCTATTAGAAAGCTGGGGCTCCGTTCAGCCCGGAGAAGGCTCCAGGGAGACCCGAGAGCAGCATTTCAGTGCTAAAACGGGGGAAGGAAGGGGATGGGCTCTTTGGCAGAGTCTGTTGGGAGAGGATAAAGGTATCAGCGGTTTTGGGCCAGTTCAGCCTGGTTCTGTGACTAAATGTAGCACAGATACACACCAGGAGTGGGGGAAAAGGGAAAAAGAAAGGTAGGGAGATGGGCCTAAGCGCAAAATGGTGGCAACGAGCTGAGAGAGAAAACTAATTTACTAAATATGATACCGAAATGCAAGGTAGCACAATATAATACAATATAGTTGGAACTGAAGCTAGTAAATCAAATAAAATGAGAGAGTCTAAAAAACCAAAGGCCTTACGCAAATGCTGAAGGCAAGATGGCTAGGAAGAACACACTTCAGAGGTAAGCAGTAAAAGAACGGGCAATCTCTTGACTCGTGGGGAGTTTTATCTTTCCCTCTAAACAGAAACCAGAAACAGAACAGTGAAAGTCTTGAGGGAGATGAAGTTCTTCTTTCCTTCTGAGAAATGTATACCCAAAACTATCGACAATCTACTGGTGTATGAACTCTTCAACTCCCAGTGTATGATGTTGTGATGTGGAGTACTGATACAAAAAAAAAAAAATAATCATAAAACCATGACTAAGGGGAAGTGATTTCAAACTAAAAGAGAAATGATTTATATAGTATATAAGGAAGAAAGTTTTTACAGTCAAGGTGGTGAGGAACTGGCACAGATTACCCAGAGAGCTGGTGGAAGCCCCATCCCTGGATGTAATCAAGGCCAGGCTGGACGGAGCTCTGAGCACCTGATGGAGCTCTGAGCACCTGATGGAGCTGTAGGTGTCCCTGTTCATTGCAGGGGAGTTAGACTAGATGACCTTTAATCGTCTCCTCCAACTCAAATGATTCTATGATACTATGATTTGGTAACATAGTATGAGATATTCCTTCTGTCATCTAATGGAGTCTCCAGTCTTGGAGATGGTCTTGCCAGCATAATCCAGGAATGAAACTTGCCAACCTGAATGTCAGGTTAGAAAGTTGACATTGCTTTATTACAGCAATGGGTGTGTGAGGGATCACTCCTAGCATGCATGCATATAACCTGAAGCACATAGATCATATACATTCAACAAATATGAATATTTGTACAATTCCCATGAAGTACCCATCTATTCTGAGGATTGCTATACATATTAAAATCTAATACAAGACATGCACTGTGTTAATAGGGGGTTCTTGCAAGCAGTCATTGGTGGTCATGGAGTTCCACTGGGAGATACTATCCAGCCAAAAAGTTGTGTGCTAAGTAGCTCAGGTCTTGACCATATTTGGTCAAGAAATCATTTATGTAAAATCAGCTGCTGACTAAGTTTCTAATTATCTCATCTACTTTGTTATGGTGCTTATATTATCAGCTCTAGCAGAGTACAGTATATCTCCCCACAGCTTATGGAATGTTGAGATTTTGCCGTTAGGCTCCACATGTCCTGCTTATCTGGGAAAAACAGCCATATACAGAATCTCAGTTTGCTGAATACCCTGAATTAATTGCTGCAGACTCTGAATTTATTGCCAGGCATCACAGAGGTGCCTTCCAAACTTAGCTATTTTGTTTTCCTATATGATTTTGTGAAAAGCTTTCCTGATTGGTCAAATTACTGCCATCTACTGAAATTTATGCAGATGCTGGGTGGATACTAAGTTTCACCCTCTAATGATCATGTCCAATGGTCAACCAGATTAGTAGCTTTGTCATAAAAGAGGCAGAACTTTCTCTGAAGTGGTGTTAGCTATGGCCAGTGACTGTACTGTGTTTCAAATTTTTCAGTAACTACCAGAATAATCTTCTCCATTCTTTTTACCCAGCAGTGAAGGGAGACCAGTGTCTTCTTTTATACTCTTTGAAAATCAGTACATTTACCAACTTTCAGTCAACTGGGACATCTCCATATTCCCAAGACAATCTCAAAAATAACTGAGAGAGATTTTGTAATTGTATCAGTCAGCTCTTTCAGCAGCCTGAGAATAATCCCATCAGGCCCCTGGTGCAAATCCCTATGGAGAGTATTACTGAAGGTGGGGGTGATGGTAATTCAGAATAAGAAGAATTGTAATGGCTGACCAGAAGGCAGCAAAAGCCTAAGCTGAAAGGCACTTTTCATGTAGGAGATTAATGAGTAGAAGCACTCCTCAGGGATTGTGATGAGTTTTTGGACATAATAAGTGCAATGTACTCATTAATGAGATAAAGACAAGAATTTGATACGCACCCATGAAATTTAAAGATGACACTAAGCTGAAAGATATTATGGATAATGATCTTGACTAGAATGAGAGAAATGAGGTGAAATGTAACAATATAAAGTACAAAATCGGTAACAAAAAGAACAGTAAACCTTTGCTATAAACTCATCAGTTAGAGCAAATGAGGAAGAAAGAGTTCTCTCTTAGGAGCATTGAGATAATTTGAAGACTTCTTAAGACCTCGTTTCTGTGTTTTCCCATGGAGGCTCAGCCAAGAGTGAGATTGCCACAGATCTGAAGCAGAGAGACATTTCTCTGTTTTTCTGGTATGAACATATTTGGTGGTCTGTCGTATGTTCACCTCATTTGATCCCTAAAGGAGTCCTTTCTGTGCCATGCCTGTACTTTCCCCTTCTAAAATATAAATAAGTTCGTTATACTCATGGGTATTCCTTACCCATGAAACAATTAGGAAAACAAATATGAAAGCAAGAGAGGGAGTTTCGAAGCGAAAATTGTCAACTACTAGTCACATGAAATAGCAGTGACACTGCACAGAAAACAGCACAGAGGAAAAAAAAAAAAAAAAATCAAGCTCAGGAACAAGATCTGGAGAAAAGCCCCTAAACTAATAATGACTTGGAAGCAAGGGGCCTGTATGCAATGGGAAGGTGAGATGAGCAGGCTGGCCAACTGATAAAGGAGACACCGACCTGGCTCAGTGGCTCTCTGAGCATCTGTCTTCAGATGACATGAAAACTGGTATTTTCACAGAGGGCTGCACTCTGCATAACAGAACATGAAATTTTCAGTGCTGTCAGTAGGAAAATGCATTAAAAAAAAAAAAAATGAGGCAAAAACGTGATTCAAAAGAATTGTACTGAACAGGGGAGAAGTTATTTTAAGGCTTCATCATCATATCTAAAGAGGAGCACACCAGGGGAACCAAATATTTGTAGTGTCTGTGACAAGTGATCATGGTCTGAAGACAGTTCTTATTACAGTAACATAAATACTGCTTTAACAGGGCTTATTTCAAGTGGCTGAAAAAAAAAGTCAAGTCTCATCAACTCAAGAAGTTGAACAGAAAAGCTGAATGAAAATATTATGAATGAAAACACTTTGAACCCCAAAATGTGAGTTTCTGCTATTCAATACTGTAGCTCAGTAGAAGCTGGGAAGAACTTCTTGAGGTGATAAATATCAAAGCATACTAAGCAAACAAAAAAGGAAAATTTCATAATATATACCAAGGAAACTAGGAATTATTTGAAATTGACATGAGGCAAATCAAAGCATAAAAGAAATAAACCTGCAAAGTGCAGTATTTTTCTTCACATTCTCTGCAGTGCATTCTTTATGCTATGTTCTTTGTTGTCACAGATTTTTGTGTTTCCATTAATTTTATTTATGTTTTTTGCCTTATAAAAGCTGTTTGCAAAACTCCAACTTGTACAAAGACACTGAAACAAAAGCAAGATAAGACAAGAAATTTGGAATGACAGAAGGTGTCTTGTCTTTTTTTCCTATTTTTTTTATACCATCCGCTCACAATTAAGACTTTATCGCCTCCATATGACACATAGAAGGTGGGCAGGATTTTAGTAGCAGCTGATAGATGATTATGACAAGTAGGATGTCTGATTTTAATACCTAACCTTCAATGCAACTTTCTTAAGCTGTTGTTAAATCCTCTTGTGGTTCAGTGCTGGTAGAACACCGTGGACATACCTACACTTTGCCTTTCAGCATCTCATACTGCTAGGTATTAACATCTTCACTTCTCTGTAAGAGAATTGTAGGTTAAGAGCACTATAATCCTCACAAGTATGATTAGCAGTAGGAGCGACCAAGACTGATCTCTAATTTTAAATGAGCCTGATTTACATCTTCTGAAGCGATCTGTTTATACCACTTTTGTCCTGAAC